AATAAAAAAAAAAGAATCTAAATGAAATCGTCTAGCTAAAAAATAAATAAATGAAAAATAAAATTTCCAGTATCCTTCGTTCCTGCACATGTATAGTCGCAGTAAGTTTACAAAATTTAGTCTGATGAACTTCTGGGGAGAGAAACGCATCGCAAAAAAACTTTTTTTTTTTTTTGTACAATTTGTCATACATTTTCCCCAAATATTGTTCTTGATATACACAAATCTATATCGTTAGATATAGAGTTTGACTGAGCATCGCATAAGCGGAAAATCCACAGTGGCAAATTCATATCAATACAACTAAATATATTAGCTCTATCACTGATATTGAGAGCTTTCTAATAAACACCGCGCATATATATATATATATATATATATATATATAATAATGATTTTCTAAGCGCTGCTTAGATGTGGCACAAGGCCGGAAATATGGAGCACCCAGTGAGAATTGAACTCACTACTCAGTAGTAATATGTTCTAGCAAGACAAGCTTGCTAACCATTACACCAATTCGAGAGGTATATATATATATATATATATATATATATATATATATATATATATATATATATATATATATATATATATATATATATAATAATATATATAAAAGCAAATATCATACGTAACATTATATAATTTAACGTATATTAAATTTAACCGAATTTTAGCAAACATTATTACTAAAATATAAGTAAAACCCTGAATCACGAGATTATTTAATAGAAACAATTTCAAATTAAAAACGCAACATCGTTATTTGTTTTTCAACTGTGAGTTCAACTGTAGGATTTATATTTGAACATTAGCGTAGCTTAGATGTGGCACAAAGCCGGAAGCCTAACGCATCAAGTGATGATCGAACTCACAACCCAGTCGTAATTATTGTAGCGATCAAACTTGCCATTACACAACGTCCAAGTGACCAAATGATTTCTAAGCGTTGCTTAAATGTGAGACAAAGCCGAAAGTTTAGAGCACCCAGTGAGAATCTAACTCACTACACACTTCTAATTGTTCTAGCGAAAAAAGCTTGTTAACCATCACACCATGTCGAAGTGTCTCATCAGTGTATGAATGTGTGTTCATAAAATAGATTTTTGGCGATCAATACAACTTTGGCAGAGAAGGTAATGACTTCACCGGTTATTAACTGTTAAAAGTTAGTACCTAATTCTTTAAAATATTGTTAAAGCCACCAATTGCATATAAAGATTTTTACCTATGGGACATTTAATGTTAGAGGACTTGTGAAAAATGAAAGGCAGGAATCACTGGCTCGAGAGTGTGAAAGTTATAAAATCGAAGAATTTTGTCTCCAAGAAACCAAAATCAAAGGATATTAATATCAGAGTTAGACAGTGCAAGTTAATAGCTTTGGAAATCGTAAAAAAAATTATGAAAATGGTTTTGTCTTTAATACTAAATGGAAGACTAACATCCATAGACATTAGAAAATCTCAGAGAGAATATCAGATTTGCAGCCCAAGACAGATACGAAGGAATATGAATGACTTCAGACTGAAGATATACATTTTAAAATACATTAAAAGAAAATTAATATCAAGTGAAATGAATACTTCGAACATTAAAAGAAATGCCAATAAAATTCAGTCGCTGTAAAAATTTTGAATAACTTGAATGCAAAATAATACGTTCCAAAATTATAACATTTCTCATAGCATTTTTATCGGATTACATCTCTATTTTCGTTGTCCTCTTATTACCGAGAAGTAAAAACAAGAACAAAATCTATTTCCAAAACCTGAAGATGTCTGTAGGAACAGACGAAAGCTTGTAAAAGTAAAAAAAAAAACCTTATGAAACTGGAATTTATAAACAGGGATCATATCATTCATATACAGATTCGGGGTTAGTGTACCTTATTGAAATTGTTTATGAAGATGTATTCTTATATATTTAAATCAATAACCTCTATATTTGTTTTTTTTAATATGAATATATATTATATATATATATATATATATAATATATATATATATATATATATATATATATATATATATATATATATATATATATATATATATATATATATATATATATATATATATATATATATATATATATATATATATATATATATATATATATATATATATATATATATATATGTGTGTGTGTGTGTGGTGCTCCTACAGTGTATTTAGAGATTCTTGATAAAATACAAGGAAGAAACTAAACTTTCGGTTACATCTAGGCATTTCAGCAGTAAAATGACGAGACCTAGCTGTCAATCGAGTACTGCGCTTAAATTCATAAAGTCTTGGTATCATAGAGAAAATATCGTCAAAATATCTACCATCAAAGTATTTATAAAAAAAGACACAGGGAAGCAAGATTACAACAGTGGCAAAAGACTGATGGCTAGATGCCATGCCAAGGCCAAAAAACATCGCAGATTCTTTGGATTTGTTCAAGAATCTCTAAATGTATAGCAGGAGCACCAGGCCAGATGTAGCAAAACTGTTTAATGCATGGACGAATCGGAGACTTATAAATTTAAAAGATAGATTCCTGCAGAGAAAAAAAAATGTCTTGCACGTCATAGTGAAGCAACTTTTCAAGCAACACACCTAGCGATTGATTCAATCTTCCCACTTCACGTCAGTGGAAAACTTTAGCCCGAGAAGACGCAACAGGTCACTTACTTGGAAGTTAGCATCCGCCATACTGGTGGAAGGTAAAAACGGATCGCTCAGATGATTAATAGGGTGGAGTTTCGGTTTGGAATCGTCAAAATTAATAAGCCATTGACAGTAGATTGTATGTCATTTTTTTAGATTCTCTACTAATTTGACTTTATCGGACTGATCAGACATACTATGAAAACACGATTAAATAGTAGTATCATCAGCATAGATACCGAATTGAGATATGTCGCCATCAAAAAGGTCATTGATGAAAATTAGAAACAGTGTAGGTCTAAGGATAAAGCCTGGAACGATACCTACATTAGTACAGAAAGACCTAGAAAGAGTGGTCGTTCAGGACGACATTCATTTGGTGATTTGATAAGAATGACTGAATCAGATCAAAAATTCGTACAAAAATACTTGAAACCTTGTCAAGTGCCTTCGAGATGTCCAAAGTGGCCAGTCGTACTTGAAACCTTGTCAAATGCCTTCGCGATGTCCAAAGCGGCCAGAAATACTTGAAACCTTTTCGAGTGCCTTCGAGATGTCCAAAGCGGCCAGAAATATTGAAACCTTGTCAAATGCTATCGAGACGTCCAAAGCGACCAGAAATAGTCCTCACATAATGGTAAAACATTAGCTAGTTGAAGGCAACTTTGTCACTAATGTTTTCCCGTTATGTGGAATATATCCCTGAAAGGTATATTTGGGAGGCATTTTTGCCACGCCCTGTACTTAGATTTCAGCCATTCTATCCTCTGGGCTATGTAGGATGTGAGTCTAACAACCGAGATGTGTAGGCTGGTTTGAAATGTTATACAATAAAATGATTCCTCATCTAAAAAAATTCCGACATAAAATGTATTTACTAAAACTATGTTAGGTAAATCTATGACAAAGTAGAAAAGGTTTTCGTATGACGCGTTTTGGACGACTTCATCGGACTAAAAATAATGTTTACGTTGATGCGACTACGCATGCGCACGAAGGATGTTATTAAATAAAATTACATGCCTTTTTCTCATGACTTATCTATGATGAGAAAAGGACGGAGAAGAGCAAAAAACGGGTCTGTTATCGAATTGACATTGAGTGAAAATTGAAAGTTAAACAGGAACGAAAAAAAGGAGTTAAAAAATGGCGATATATTTAACATTTTTTTATGGCGACTGGTCGAGCAAAAGAGAGAAAGACGAAAGGACACAGTAGAAAATGTTTGTGCAAACTGTGTTCATTTTTCGCATCTGAAATTAATGTCTGTATAAGCGATTAAAAAAACCCAAAAAACAAAGAAACATGAAATGACAACGTTTTATAAGGGATAATTTAAAAGATACTCAGTTAACCCGAGACTTGAACAAGCAAATATTGTAGTGATCGGCGAATATATATATATATATATATATGTATATGTGTGTGTGTGTGTGTGTATGTATGTATGTATGTATGTGGAATATATTATATATATTATTATTTATGCGCGGTACTTATTAGAAAGCGCTCAATATTAGAGATAGGGCTAACATATTTGGTTGGACTGATGGGAGTGTGCGACCCTGGGTTTCCCGCTTTTGCGATCGTCAGACAAACTGATAAACTTTTTCAAAATTTTGGATTCATGTAGGTTGCGTGTATTGGTGTTTTTATGGAAGTGGGATGGAAAAAATGTCGTCGTGATGTCACTCATGCTAACGCAAACATACATGCATGCCCGTACACCCACAAATTAAATTATATATATATATATAAATAAATAAATAATAACATAATATATATTTATACATAAATAAATAATATATATATATATATATATATATATATATATATATATATATATATATATGCGAACGTCAGTGTATCATTGTGCCACACATTTTCATCTTTTCAAGTGGCCTCGTCAGAAGAATTATTGTTGAAATTTTAAAAGGTGAGCTTAAATATAAATGCCATACTTAAATACAGCAATGAATTTTGAATTCTTTTGTAGTTTATTGTTCTTTATCCCATCTACTTTTCCCTTTTTCTTGTGATGAAGGCCAAGCTTAAATGAAGGCAAGCTTAAATGCCTCCCAATAGGGCGGGTTCTAAGCTAGAAGCTATACATAATATCAATTAAATAATTAAAAAATAGAGAACCTTAAGTTTCCATGACTATAATTTATTTCCCCAGAAAATATATTTTTCCCCGAGTCATCATGGGGAAATAAATTATAGTCATGGAAACTTAAGGCTGTCTATTTCATAATTATTTAATTGATATTTGCTCGGGTTTTATATATCGAGCTCTCTGGATTACATCTTCCTTGGAAATATCCACACGCATTACCAAACCCTTACTTATATATGAGATAGATAGATAGATAGATAGATAGATAGAGGGCGGGAGTGCGTACGTATTTATGACCATGACTTTTTTGTAACCCTATGTAAAAATTTGTTCAAAATAATGAAAAAGAAATTAATTTGCTTTAGCCCTTGAAAAAGGGTCACCCCCCCCCCCAAGAAAAAAAAACGAAAATTCAATTTTACCATATGTGCAATAAGGGGAAAATCTTAAAATATTTCAGAACCTTTATCTTTCAATTTACTAATGATGTAATTGGAGGGTACTTGTGTATTTCTAAACGCATTTAGCAGTTTATAGCTGTAGCATAACATACAAATAAGGAAAAAAACAGATTCTAGAAGGTTCCATATAATTATAGAAGACACCAGAAAATCATAATATTACTACATTTGAATATAAGTTTAGAAATTTAGAGTGAAGGTTGAAATTTAAAAAAAATAAAAAAATAAACTGAATTAATCCTTCCTTATTTTTTAACAAAAGTTAATCGAATTACGATAGAGGAAATCAATTATTTTTAAAAATGTCATAACCCTAATACACAGATACGCACACAATATACACACCCATACAAACAATTTTATATATATATATATATATATATATATATATATATATATATATATATATATATACTACACACACAGAGATAACTAATGATATATATACAGATATATATATATATATCGTATGAGGAGCAAGCAGATAGTTTATTCCTAGGAACCGACAGCCCGACACCAGCACATGATATTTGATTATAGTAGTGAAGGTTTTGTGCAGAACCAACCACCCTTTTTCATGTCATTAATAAGTTGTTTTTTATCTTTTATCTAGCAACTGCTAAAGCCCGGAACTTTTCTACAGCATACATAGTTACCTCCCCTAAAAAAACGGTGTCTGTCAACCAGCCATGACACATTGTTCGTGACTCCATATATAAAAATGGTAATTTTCGAATGACCACAACAATTTTTGTCCTTCACAACCATGAAAACTAAATACTTACTGTATATTTAACAATAACCTGATGATGACATCATGCTATGTCGAAAGTACTCGGAAGAAACACAACAAGAGTCAACACGGTGTTTTCCTCTCGTCTTTTAATAACCACACAAAAAAAGCTTATTCGCGAATATGAAAGGATCTTATCGAAAATACGTAGACAGAACGTGTTTAAATTATTTGACGAAACCTGTGTTTATATATATATATATATATATATATATATATATATATGTATGTATGTATGTATGTATGTATGTGTGTGTGTGTGTGTGTGTGTGTGTATGTATGTATGTAAGCAAATATATGGATAAAGATCCGACAGTAGAAAGAAAAATACACTGAAAAAAACAAAAATCCTAATATGCGATTATGCTGTTTTTATGTTTAAATATGATCACGTCGTCGTCACGTGGCCGATGTTGTGAAAACGTATTCCTAAAATTTGAGTATTTTGAATGAAAAACGAAAAGAATTTAATTTTGATCTAAAACTTATATGTATGCTTGTCGAGCATTAATTAATCTTTTCACAACATCGCCGACGTGATCATATTTAAACGGAACGCTGATTTTATAAGATTTCAGTTATCTGTTTGGATTGGTATTGCTTTTATGTCCATCGTCTTTTTCGTGTTGAATTGTATATGGTCGATGTTAATTATATTTTATGAATATGTCCTGAAGATGGTCTATTAGACCGAAACGTCCGACGTTGACATTAAACATTAAAACATCATATCGCATATAAGGATTTTTGTTCATATATATATATATATATATATATATATATATATATATATATATATGTGTGTGTGTTTTTGTATATGTGTGTGCGCGCGCTCACACACATACACACACTGTACAGTCTACTTATGTTTCTTCATCATCTCTAAGTTCTTCAGTTATTCCCCTCACTCGAAACCGATGCATCTTTGGGGCCACTTTTCCCCTCATGGTAACCAGGTTCAACATCGCCTTCTGAAATGGCGAAATCAAACAGATAACAATCAACAAGTAGATAGGGTCGATGAGAGGCCAAGATGGAAAATGCGGAACCAAGGTGCAGTGTCATTGAAAGGCATTCCATGCTGAAGAGAATAGCAGAGGCCACCCCGCTAACTTTGGCCCACGCAGAATCGCGAAATTTACCCAGGGAAAAGCCGAACGCACTAAAACGAGGATTAATGCCAAATTCTTCTGATGCTACCTAAAAATTTATTTTTAAAGATTCCTTTTTTTCACAAATTAATAGCCGGCGAATCCATGACAGACATTTTTTATTACACTGCTTGAATTATTAATTTGAACCCTAAATAGTTGCCGTTTTTTTATCGACTTTATTCTCCAAAGAATATAATACTAATCTATCCAGAAGGTGTGACTAATATTCAAACATTATTAATGGGGCTAACATTTTCGGCTTTTGTCTTTTTCTTATCTCCACTAATCACTGACCTTCTATCTATTTATTTATGCCTGCTCAGTAGGCTGTGATGATTTTTTAAGTGTAGCTGTAGCAGTTTCGTCCACATGATCAGGAGTAGTATTATCTACAATTTCTCCCGTGTTGCAACCGGATGTAACATAAGGTTGAGGTTTTAGAGATTATATTAAATCCATTGCTCGGTTTCCTGCTAAGTTAGTTGTCATTCCTTGCCTTTAAAGGAGTGCCCTTTGCCGTGCTGATGTTGCTACATGCCTTACTTCTTGCCTATCTCACACTTCAATTTTTTTCTAAGCTCTATACTAAACATTTAATCTGTTACAAAAAAGAACTAAACAAAATGAACACAAAACGATCAGCTTTAAAAAAGAACTCGTAACTGGAAAAACCGAATGAAAAAAGAATGTTAACAACAAATACTTTTTCACACCCTACCCAGTTCTGCGGAATCAGAATCAACGTTGAGTTTAAGCAAGCGAATGAGCCAATTGGAATAAAGTGCCATGCAGATTTCAATTTTTCCCACTTGTGACGAATGCAGCAATCGATTTTTTTTTGCATGCTAGCCTACTAATTAACATTCGTGTCAGTCAGCTGTTGGCTCTCACGCTGGCCAATAAAATCTTCCTGCCTATTCGTGGCAGCCAGCTATAGGCTCTCACTCTGGCCACTAGAAAATGTCCGCAAACTACATTAAAACTGCCGTAGAAGCATGAAAAAAATTATTTCCACTATCGATGGGAGTTGGGAAATGCAAAGTCGGTCTTGGCCTTTCCGCTAACTTTTGATGCAAATCCATCGAAAATTGCGGCGGTGCATTCGTCACACACACACACACACACACACTCACACTCTCTGTCTTTTATAGATAGAGATTTAAAACAATTGTTGAACCTTATAAAAAGCTTTTGCATAATTCATAAAATATAGGTATATATACATCTTTGGGATAGTTAACGATAAGAAATTTTTGTGACGTACGGTTAATAATTAAGTATAACTCAAGACTTCAATGTCAAATAAAACAGTATTTATTTACAACCGCAAATAAATACTTAAGAAAAAGTCAACCAAAGATAATTAACCATTTCAGTGAATACCTTGTTCGTATCACGACTCGGCTTAACGTCCTAAATCCAAACCCAAATCATCGATGCACCGTGATTCACACTAATTCGACTGGATAGTTCCACTCAATAGTCACTTAATAATCATTGCAATATGTCTGACAACGCTATTTATCCACCTTGTGGAGAAAAAAAACATTCATAAGTCCAGAGTGACCCGCTCGTGAATACCTTGTTAGTATCACGGCTCGGCTTAACGTCCTAAATCCTAAATCCAAACCATCGACGCACAGTAATTCACACTAATTTGACTGGATAGTTCTACTCAATAGTCTTTGTCTGTCTGACACGGCTATTTATCCACCTGGCGGGAAAAAAAAAACTAAAAAACATATTTATAAGTCCAGAGTGTCCTGCTCGAACTTCGATTTTCTTCCGGTATGACCGAAATATATATTTAAAAAAAAGCCATTGTAAAAAGACGTAACTTTTGAGTGGCCGAATACATTTTGTCCATCTTTCATCAGCATCTTTCACCGCTGACGCGAGATCTCTCAAGGCCTATAGTTTACACATGGTATAAATCCAATCTTTTAAATCTATTCTTAGGTATGGCATCAGGGTTACTCCCAATTGGATATTTGAGATAAGCTGCAAGGTCGAGCGGAAAGAGGAGAAGGTGGATAATATTTTCAGCTTCACTTTGAACAAATAACGAAGACTTCCGAGATTAAACGAAACGCGAGAAAAATTCCAAGAAAATATTGTCAAAGCCCGTCCCAGAAAGCGTAGAATTTCGCAAAGATATCCTTTTCGTAATGTTCAATTTCCCTGGGAATTAAATATGCAGAAGGGGTCAGTATTACAGAGGTCAAGAGGTCAGAGAAACAGTTAACAACGAAATCAAATTTGGAGTGGATTGCGAATAAACAAAAACGTGCAATTTAAAAAAAAAAAGAAGTCTTTTTTAACGCTTCAAAGAGACTAAGCAGACGAACACGAGCTATTGAGTATCTACCTACATATCAATGATATGCAGAATACGTTTTCTATTTTCAAATATGCAGTAGCAAGAGGTAATAGGCTCTAATAGACAAATACAGTTCGAATTCCGCCTACAACTGCTTGTGTTCGCTTAGCAGAGGCATGAATCCACTCTTTCCTCTTAACATTGAGAGAATGTAACGTTTTTCTTAATGAAAAAATGGAATTGTTAGGACTTCAAACCTCAGCTGAAACTAGTTATGTTCATTTAATACACTTGCGAAAGTTAGGAGTCAATTTCAATCAGTTCTGTAACCATCATAAAAGGTCTTGTCACTGGCTTGTCACAACTGGAAATAAATTCATGGTATATTCTTTTTACTACTGCTCACTATTGTTTACTCAATGTCAAGGCAGAATATAAAAATTGAACATCTCCGGTTCAAATCTGGAATCAGTATTCCGTTTTTGATGTGATCGCTTTTAAATATAGATCACGGCAAATGGAACGGGTACTTTCTTGAGCGGTACAAAGAACTGTCCATTTTTCTAGTCTCTTAAGCTATCGATCGCATATTGTTGGTGGACTTGAATTCGTATAGACGTTCAAAGGGTCAGACTAAAAAAGGCTTACAAGACAGCTTTCAGAAATTAACCAAAGAGATAGTCGTTAGAAACAAGAAGAGTTCTGAGCTGAGAATTACGTCACAGTCGCTTGACCGGACAGCTAGAGTTGAGCAATCTCTCTGCATGTCGGTAAGGGGCGGTTAACAGGGCAGCGAAGGACAATGACTATACAAAAGGTGAAAAGGGTAGACGACCTCTCCACTAGGGTGAAAAGGGTAGACGACCTCTCCACGAGGCTGAAAAGGGATGACAACCCTCTCCACGAGGCTGAAAAGAGCGAAAATCTCTACAGGGCTGTACAGGACGGAAAATCTCCCTACGAGGCAGTACTGGGCAGATACTATTTACGAAGCCGAAAGGGACGGATACTCTCTCTACAGGGCTCTGTATTGGATGGGGAAGCTCCTCAAAGATGAAAAAGAGATTTTATGGAAAAGAAGTGTGTTTACTACACCTGTAAATACTATAGACAGAATATCCGAATAATGAGGAAATTTTGAAGAGAATAAGAGAATAACTACAAGGAAAAGGCAGTTAACAATCAGAAAGGTGACATTTATGGGACTCATAATGAGGAAAGAAGACGTAGAGAGTTAAACGCTAACAGGAAATGGTGGATGCAAGAGAACGGGGAAAACCGGATGTGGCCCACTTAACGAGTTTGCATAAATGAATGGAGGCGAGAAAAGCTAATATTACTGAAAAATAGAATTAAGTGGACGCTGCAGAGAGCCATAACCGCTAGTGACCTGACTGGCCGAGTTTCGTTACTAAGACGCGTGGTAATACGATTTTCTATGTAACTCAGCACTTACGACACGCACCTATGCTAACGCAATAGTAAATCAATAATCTAGGACAACACATTTCTATGACATATCTTAATATAATTAGGACTAAAAAAAAAAAACACAGACCAAGAGGCACAGGTCTCTCGTTATATATATATATATATATATATATATATATATATGTGTGTGTGTGTGTGTGTTGAACAATAAAAATATTAAAAAATTAAAATCTTCAGACACACTGGGTTGTATATTTATGTTTTTATTATTTCAGGTAGATTCCTCGACTAGTTCCTCGACATGGCCATCATCAGGATAAAAAAAGAATCTGCTTGTTACTAGGAGTGAACTACGGAAATAAATGACTTGATGGAGAAAATGTAATTTATCTGTAGTTTTCAGTTTTTATTTATATATTATATATATATATATATATATATATATATATATATATATATATTACATGAATTTTGGTCAGTTCTTGTGTTTGTTGGTCAAACAGTCTCTTAAGATGTTATCTGAGAGCTGGATTTATGCATGCTGCCCTGAATTCCCTTAGTCACTTTGACAGTTTTATTGGTTCCTGAAAATTTATATATATATATATATAACAAATAAAAGGTAATAAATACGTTGGTATATTATCCTAGTAATATAAAATTTTAAAATATATAAGAAATGGACAAGGTTCGAATCCTGTCAAAGAACGAATATTTTCTATGAAAATTTCTCGGACATTCAGGCCGGTAAATGTTATTTAATACTGTTTATCATAAACAGAGCATTTGCTTAAATACTTGTATCTATAAAATAACAACGTTAAACATAAAAAATGTCTTTAATATATATATATATATATATATATAATTAAAAAAATAAACCATGATAAATATAGAATGGAAAAACAGTTACATTGGAAATGATGCGTTTGCCAGCACGCGGGATGGTCTGAATATGCACGCGTCTGTTGCATAATGAAAACAGACTTTTGAACGGAATAATAGATATGCGAGCGTCATTCACAATAAAAATGAAATAGAATATGCAAATATATTTAAAAACGGATATTTAAAAAAAATTTTAACCTTTGAGGAGTGGACATGATCCACGAAATTGTGTAGCAGGCTGAAAAATAATACAAATATTCACAAAACGGACATTATTTTATAGTAAGTAAATGCTCCTATTTTAACAAGTTAATATATATATATATATATATATATATATATAAAGACATTTTTATGTTTAACATTCTTTTTATAGGTACAAATATTTAAGTAAATGCTCTGTTTTATTATAAACAGAGCATTTACTTAAACATTTGTATCTATAAAAAGAATGATAAACATAAAGATGTCTTAAAATAATTGTTGGGCTTTGTAAATCCTCCCGACACATAACTTATAGGCGCGCCATAAAAATATCCCTCACTGGGAACTAACTAGAGGATGACCGCCAACATGAGCCTTGAAATAGATACCCTACCCAACCTGAGCAAAACCTCTCAGAAGATGATGAATCTATAGATAAGAATTAACTCTCTGACCACTTAACGAAGAAAACTGGCCTAGCCATTCCCACAATAACGAATGTTATAACGGACCATGCCTAAAAACACACATAAACCAAAAGATAGCTTATTCCTAAAATTTCGCTTGAAGATGAAACGAGACGAAACACCTCAATTCAACTTAAGTTTAATAATTATTTCGATGGTTTCGGCTCTCGTTTTTGAAACATGAGAACTCTTATGTAGCGAAGGAACCATATTTTTAAACAAAAAATATTATAATATATATATATATATATATATATATAGATAGATAGAGAGAGTGTGTAACCCGGATATAAGAGAGATTTTCTCTGGTCCCAAATTAGAGCCTGTGTTAATGTATATAAAATAGACCAAACCCGGATATAAGAGACTTCTTCTCCGGTCCCAACAACTTTCTTATACCCGGGTTACACTGTATATAATATATATATATATATATATATATATATATATATAAATTTACATTGTTCAGACTATTGTCCTAATCTTTGTCACCATATTTCTTACAACGTTTCGGCCGTTGTACGCTCCAGCCTTCTTCAGGTGGTTGGAATGACGAACTGAACCCTTCTGAATATACAACAGGAGCAGCGAACCATATATGGCAACAATATTCAAAGCGTGGACAAATCGTAGACTTATAGATATGTAAATCTGCCTTTTTTTTTCCTGTTGTTAAATCTACACCTATGTTAGATATCCGCCATTTTGTGGAAACATCTTGTTTAATTTCTTTCTCCCCCAAACTCAAACTAAATTTCCAAATCACGGTATTTCCCTTTTCGTCCCCATACATTTGCTGGCTTGCTCATAATTAACAAAGGCTAAGATGCGAGGTTGAAAGAAACGCGCGTAGCTGTCAGCATCAGATGGCATCGCTACGCCATGATTTGTCGGTTGTGTCAAGCGACGTCATGTGATCCGTGATAGCGCGGGAAAATATGGCGAGTTGGTGCTGGCAGCCAAGACTGTAATATGGAATGACGACGGTTGAAAGATTGGAAGAAGGGAGAGCGGATCGGGAGGTAGACGATAGGTGAGAAGATACGGAGAGGCAAGCCAGTAGTATTGCTTAAAATGTAGAGCGTGGGGTATGAAATTCGGAAAGGGAGACGTAACTGAAAGGGAAGAATAGAGAAAGTGGGGAATGAGTGGCAGGGGCACAAGTATAAAGAAGGAAGTCATGGCCAATGAAAGAAGGAATAAAGAGTGGTACAGTAAACGACCGAAGGACGGAAAGGAAGCCAGACAGGAATATATATATGAGAGAGATAAGAGAGAGAGAGAGATAAGAGAGACAGAATATGAGAGAAGAGAGAGACAGAATATGAGAGAAGAGAGAGACAGAATATGAGAGAAGAGAGAGAGAATAGAGAGAATATGAGAGAGAAGAGAGAGAATGACAGAATAGAAGAGAAGAGAGAGAATGAGAAGAGAGAGAGAATGAGAAGAGAGAGAGAATGAGAAGAGAGAGAGAATGAGAAGAGAGAGAGAGAGAGAGAGAGAGAAGAGAGATAGATAGAGAAGAGAGAGAGAGAGATGAGAGAGAGAGAGAGATAGAGAGAGAGAGAGAGAGAGAGATAGAGAGAGAGAGATAAAGAGAGAGATAGAGAGAGAGATAGATAAAGAGAAAAGAGAGAGAGATAGATAGAGAAGAGAGAGAGAAGAGAGAAAGAGAGAGAAGAGAGAGATAGAGAGAGATAGAGAAGAGAGATAAAGAGAGAGATAGAGAAGAGAGATAAAGAGAGAGATAGAGAAGAGAGATAAAGAGAGAGATAGAGAAGAGAGATAAAGAGAGAGAGAAGAGAGATAAAGAGAGAGATAGAGAAGAGAGAGAATGAGAGAGAGAGATAGAGAAGAGAGAGAATGAGAGAGAGAGATAGAGAAGAGAGAGAATGTGAGAGAGAGATAGAGAAGAGAGAGAATGTGAGAGAGAGATAGAGAAGAGAGAGAATGTGAGAGAGAGATAGAGAAGAGAGAGATGAGAGAGAGAAGCCGAGGGGAAGTCAGAAGAGGCTGAAAGATGGCGGCGTAGGATGATAGGAGCAACAAGACGATGGCACAGAAAATTATGAAAAGTTAATGAGAGGAAAAGCGGCAACAAAAGGGAGTGTGAAAAGGAGAACACGTGGCGGACAGAAATTAATCTCAAGTTTTGCAATGTAAATTCGGTTATTCGGCTGAAAGTGGTACCGACGTGTCAAGTTCAAATCCCGGTTGCATTCTTTGCGTCCATTTTCACACAAACTTGCAAAAGCAATGGATCCATCTTTTTTCTCCACGGTTATGGGTTAAATATCAGGACAGTCTGGACTCTCTAAAGTAGGCTGACAACCATTCTAAAAGAAAAACGACAACTTTGTATTCAAAATCGGGTAGATTGGGTGTTAGCAATTCTACCTTGTAAAAAGAAAAACACTTGATACAAAAACAACAGCAACAATGACCTATTCCCTTTACTTGTTTATTCAGTTCAAACTTTGCCCGGGACCAAGCTAAGCCTTCAAGTTCGAGGCCATACGCTGTGGTCTGAGCATTAGAGAGGTTAGCTGCACCAGGTATAGGTTGGCCAATACACGCCATTCCTCTTTTATTGTTCTCGCTCTTTACTAATGTTTTCTTTTTCATATTCTTAGTAACTCCTTCAGTCTTAATGGATTCATTAGTCAACATTAATATTCAAATATTTAAATGCAATGTCAATCGTTATCTACTGTCATCTTGATTCGTCTTCTTTTATTCTTCTCGCTCCTTACTAATGTTTTCTTTTTCTTATTCTTAGTAACCCCTTCTGTCTTAGTGGCTTTATTAGTCAACTTTAATATTCAAAGATTTAAATGCAATGTCAATCGTTATCTACTGTCTTCTTGATTCCTCTTCTTTTATTCTTCTCGCTCCTTACTAATGTTTTCTTTTTCTTATTCTTAGTAACCCCTTCTGTCTTAGTAAGCTTTATTCAACTTTAATTTCAAAGATTTAAATGCAATGTCAATCGTTATCTAATGTTTTCCTCTTCTTTTATTCTTCTCGCTCATTCTTAATGTTTTCTTTTCTTAACCCCTTCTGTCTTAGTGGCTTTATTAGTCAACTTTAATATTCAAAGATTTAAATGCAATGTCAATCGTTATCTACTGTCTTCTTGATTCCTCTTCTTTTATTCTTCTCGCTCCTTACTTTGTTTTCTTTTCTTATTCTTAGTAACCCCTTCTGTCTTAGTAATTAGTCAACTTTAATATTCAAAGATTTAAATGCTTCAATCGTTATCTACTGTCTTCTTGATTCCTCTTCTTTTATTCTTCTCGCTCCTTAATAATGTTTTCTTATTCTTAGTAACCCCTTCTGTCTTAGTGGCTTTATTTAGTCAACTTTAATATTCAAAGATTTAAATGCAATGTCAATCGTTATCTACTGTCTTCTTGATTCCTCTTCTTTTATTCTTCTCGCTCCTTAATAATGTTTTCTTTTTCTTAGTAACCCCTTCTGTCTTAGTGGCTTTATTAGTCAACTTTAATATTCAAAGATTTAAATGCAATGTCAATCGTTATCTACTGTCATCTTGATTCCTCTTCTTTTATTGTTCTCGCTCCTTACTAATGTCTTCTTTTTCTTTCACACTCAGTAACCCTCTTGGGTCTTCGCGATTTTATTGCCTTGCTTGGGGTGAAATGATACAAAAATAAATTGTCCGAATGTAAATAACGTCAGTAAACTCATCCCAGAAATTTAGACAAGAAACATGAAAATAGGTTCAAACAAATAAAAAAGAAAGACAGGTAATGTTGATGTCAGACACAGAAAGAAATGTATAGGACTTCCTAGACAAAGTATTAAAGGAAAGCGAGAAGGGCCGTTTGTGATAGTAAGACATAATATATGGCTGTCAGCAACAGAAATATCCCAAAATATAAACTACGAATTGGAAAAGTCCGAAATCAAACAAGTAAAAGTTTAGTTATCTGGGAGGTGTTTTAACTGATGTCGGAAAATGTGAAACACAAAAGCGCACTGGAATAGAGAAAGACGCTTTCTCAAAGCTAAGCAAAATATGAAGAAAGGGGAAAATTTTTGTTACAAGGCCAAAATAGCAGCCAAAAGTTCTTATGAAAAATGGATTGACTTGTATGTGGAAAAATAATATTCGGTGATCAACCGTGGAGTAATGATTCGCAAATAAGACACACAAATACTGTTTTGAGTTCGACCTTTACGCAAGGCACACTGTTAACTTTTTTTTTCCCAAGTTAACCAAATACAAGTCTCAAGAGCCACTCAAAGAAGATATATACTGAATGTGGCGTGTGATCGGAACGCAAAAGGTGGAAGCAAGACCAGCAGATATGGAGGATAGTTAAAGATTGAATCTAGACTTAAGGCTAAGATTGTATAGTTCGGGAAACCATCTACGCGGGAGCCTGTTCCTAAGGTTATTAGGTAGAAGCTCTCTGCGTCAAACATTTTTCTTACGAATAGAAAAAAAAAAAAAAGGGAATGAGGATGACCCAAACCTGTGGACGTAACAGCGCGCATCAGGACTACAGTGGTCATATGTATTTCTTAAAGATTTTCCTTTTTTTTCTACGTTTCGGAATGTCTCTCTGGTTTCCAGAGGGAATTTGAACATGAATTGTCCAATGGCTTCTAAGCGCTTTCGGCTTACTTTTCTTTCGAAAGAAATTCGTCTTAGGTATGACGATAAACTACATCCGGCAGCAAGGCCTCTGGTCGTGATATTGGTGGTTTTGAGGAGAGTGGAAACATCTCTTAATTGCTGCTGTTCCGAGGCCAATACTGACCCGCGGTCGTGGCACTTTTTAGGGTCTCAGGTATGGCAAATTAGTGAATCGTCCCCAACCCCCGAAAAAAAATATATCCAAAATAACTATTAAAGTACATGTTATAGAGTGATTTCATAGTGGAGGCTTGTATTTGTACTAAGTCGGTCCTAAAATAGGTTCGACGTACAAAACGTTAGAAACTTGATATAATAGGTAATGACGCAGTAATCTAGTTGTGGTCGCTGATACTTTCGTATTCGACTAACTGTCGTCCGACATCGACTGACTGACCAACTGACTGAGCGACTCCCTCGTTACTCTTACTACTCCTACTTATTATAGGTGGGAGAGTCTATTAACTATAGAATGTGTTCCACTATAACAGTATAAAAATACATTTTTATAGTAAAAATACCAGCAATACATTTATATTAAAAAAATTGCCAAGAATACATATATTAAAATTACCAGTACATTTTTTATTAAAAAAATAAAATTAAAAACAATAGTTTTTTTATAAAAAAAATAAAGTTACCAACAATAAATATTTATATTAAAATTACAAATAAATTTTTTATAAAAAATTACCAACAATATATATTAAAATTACCAATAATTATTTTTATAAAAAATTACCAACAATAAATATTTACATTAAAATAACCAATACATTTTTTATAAAAAAAAAATAAAATTACCGACAATACATATTTATTGTAAAGTTACTAATACATTTTTTAAATCAAGTTACCAATAATACGTATTTATAGGAAAATGACCAATTATACGTTTTATATGTAAATGAAGGCATAGAATTGCATTCCAAATATTTAGATTCCAGCATTAAATCCAGAGAGGTCGATAAGCCGCTAACCAACCAACGAATGCATTGAAAATTTGTAAACAGGCATCATCAGCAGTCGGTCATTGATACAAGCATTAATCGCAGAATAGGACAATTATTTACATAATGCAATCGCGTTGGTAATGCTACGAGTTAGATTAGGCGTCTACAAGTTAGGAGTCAACAGAATTGATTTGAAAATCAAGAAAAACGAACTTGGCAATGCTAGTTAATTAACGAAAGTGTGTCTGATAAATATTGAGTTTTTTTTATTTCAAAATCTCAAATTATATCAAGTAAGTCGCCATTTTCGATAAACATTGCGTTTAATAACACCAGTTAGAGAAGATTATATTAACACAAAAGAGATCGTTTACAAAACAACATAAACGTATTAGTTGCTCATAGTAAAACAATTTTGATCTTTTAAATGCCATCTAATTAAAGTGAAAGCAAATTATGAAGACGAAAATGCATAGGAAGTGCTTTAATCGCTGGATCATCCAGAGTAAACGTTTCACCAATCTTGGAAGATCTTTTATCAGAATCTGGAATATTTAATAACAAAAATGGTGGGAACAATAACAAAACGTAAAAGACTCGAAAGGAAATTGGATATATATATATATGTGTGTGTGTGTGTGTGTAAGGAAATATATGGATATAGATCCGACAGTATGAAGAAAAATATACATGATATATTCATAAAACGGAAACGGAACGCTGATCTTGAAAAATTTCAGTTATCTGTTTTGATTAGACTTACTCTTATGTCTATCGTCTTTTCATGTTGAATTAAATATAGTCTAATGTTAATTATGTTTTATGAATATGTCCTGAAGATGGTCTACTAGACCGAAGCATCCGACGTTGACATTATATTAAATTTAAAACAGCATAATTGCATATTAGAATTTTTGTTTGTTTGTTTTTTCCGTATATTTTTCTTCATATATATATATATATATATATATATATATATATATATGATAAAATAAAAAGGCGGATTAAGCCTTTTTATTATATCCTTACTCTGTCCTGGACATTGAGTTCTACCTGGATTCTATCCTCTTGGAATTATTTTTTATACAAATATATGTGTGTGTATGTATGTATGTATATATATTTTAGATATATGATTGCATATGTATGTGTATATTTACCACTAATATTATCTTATATATATATATATATATATATATATATATATATATATATATATATATGTGTGTGTGTGTGTGTGTAATTTAAATATCCCAGCGTCTCTCGTTCGTGCGCATGTGCAGTTGTATGATCGTAAACAAACTTAGTCCGATGAAGACCCAACAGACGAACACTTTTTCACTTTGTTATAGATTTTCCTTCAAAATAATTCTTGATAAAAAATTATATATCATTAACCAATAAATGTTTAAAAATAATTTTAAATGAATGAATCTTTTATATTTAAAAAAAAAAAAAAAAAAACAAATACACAATCCATCCTAAAAGATTATAGATTGGCGCTACAAAATTCCAAAGAATTATACAAAATATAAAACCCCACATCAATTGAAGCCTTCCAAGAAAAACAACAAAGGATATCCTTCATCTATAATCCATGCGACTGAAAACAATTTTGATCTATAAAAATAAAATGCAATCTGATTAAATGTGAGAACGATTCACCAAGATGAAAATATATAGAAAATACTTTACTCGTTAGATCAAGGACAGTGAATTTGCGTTCAGGTCCTTATAAAGTTTCAACAATTTTGTGATTGGAATATAATCAAAATGGCCCGTAATTTTGAGTGGTACTCATGTTTATTTAAAATAACGAAAATATTAGTTTTATCAGCACGTCGGATGACAATACTGTTGTAACCATTTAGTTGTGTGGCTGTTTTTATTAAAGGAGTGTTTATAACTCCATTCATATTTTTATGATAACGGTTTTTAATAGATTCAGCTTTAAGTAATTCTTTTAAACCTACCTGTGTAGTAATATGGTTGTCTTATTCCAATAGAAGTAGACATATATATGTATATATGAGCTGGTAGGAGTAGAGAGAGAAAAAAGCTGTTACTAAAGCGATAGTATATCAATGTTTAATAACATATTCTATTGTCTTCTATAAAATGTCTTCCATTCTGTCAGCGGAGGAACAAGCTTCTATAATTCCTGTCTTTGGCTGCTCCGGGTCAGTGAACAGCGGCATCACCTCTGCAGTTAAATCTGCAAGTAACTGGTGAACGACACGTTGGCAAAACTTTGCGTTAGTCGAAAGAGATAAAGAATGGCAATAAGTGGATGCAACATGACAGGCTGTCTTTACCAAAAGAGACAAAAGCGAATATATTGTGACAGAAACGGTACGAATTCTTAGAAAACAAACCATGTTCAATGCGAAATGTCCAAGTAAGAAACGTAGAAGGTATTAATTTATATTATGCTCCTGGCGACACAAGAAATGTACACAATATATATATATATATATATATATATATATATGCGGTGCCAACCAAATTTCTGCAAATTTTAACACATTGATCAATTTGTCATCTGCCAAGATAACCAAGTTTTCCTAAATCCTGTTGAACGTTTCCCGGATTAAGAAAAAAAATGATCCGATGTATGAAAACTTGTAGATTACCAGGTGCTCTAAAATTGGATGTGCGGGTGGTGCAATGGATAACAACTCGTAATTAGAAGTCGGCGTGCGAAGTTCCAATTCCTGCCGGGTTCGTTTGCACGTAAATACCCTTGGGAACGGTACGAGTCGAAGTCTTATCCACCCACCCCAATTAGTAGGATTTGTATCAGTAAGCATTACTATCTCCCCACCCAAATTCATAAAATCTAAACATATTTTCTTACTTTACATAAAATGTCAATGGTGGATAAGCCGTTAATATATATATATATATATATATATATATATATATATATATATATATATATATATATATTATATTTATATATATATGCGGTACTTATTAGAAAGCGCTCAATATCACGAGACATTTCCGCCACACTTCCAATCTTTAAATTTCAACATACAAATGCGTATGTATAGACACAACACCACCCGTATACATACATATATCATATCCGAAACTGGCCACATATGTTTATATATGTATGAGTCCCGACGGACGACCAAGTATGTATATGTGTCTGCATACATCGATGTTTGTGTTAGTACGATGACATAAGCGACGAAATTTCCCCCCACCACTTCCACAATAACACCAATACACGCAATCTACATAAACCCAATTTTTTTAAAAAAAATTAATCAGTTTGACTGACGATCGCTAAAGCGTGAAACCCAGGGTCACAAACTCACATCTATCCAACCAAATATGTATATAACACAAATTAATATATGCTAAATTTGTAAAATAAAAATAGCTGCGATAGGTGAATACTTGGAAATACTAGATGCCGTTAACTTGGATGTGCGGGTGGTGTAATAGAGAACGGCTCGAAATTGGAACACAGAGTCACTTACATGCAAATAACCTTGGGTACGATATCTTTATTTTTCAGTGAGCCCACGTTAAAATCGAATGTGACACAAGGTCAGTTTAAAGTTGATTTAACGACAATACCCTGGGAACATTGCTCAATTCCTCTCGGAAATCTTCTCGTTTGGGGACACCTCAAGTGCCGGGTAATGTCTCCAACATCATCCGGAAGGGGAGGTAATGTCTCAAGTTTGAGGCGCCCGGGGACATGAGCTGATATTATTTGATACTTTCCCGGCAAAATCAGTCAATATACTCCGAATTTAAAAAGAAAAAAAATACTCCTATGGGTGACCGCTTCGAAGTACCACTCTAGTAGATTCTTCCAGTCAAGAGCTGATCTGTGGAATCGGCTCCCAAGATGGTGTTTTCCGGAACACTACAGTCTTAACCTGTTCAAGTCCAGAGTTAACCGTTATCTTTCCCACGTATCTGTATAAACTATGCTACTTACTCTGTACCACTCTATTTCGAGTGGCTCCCGTGCCGTGTACGAGGTGGATATTACTGTAAAAATATAAAAAAAGGAATCTTTTCTTCTCGACAAAGATTGAACATGCATTTATTTTGAAACCAGAATTTTGGTTTCTTTTAATAATTTCCAATCTTAATTTTTTAGCATTTTTTTTCTTTAAAACTCTTAGGATTAGGAGACCATATTCTTTGTACCCTCCTTGGCAATTTTTTTTTTTTTTTTATATTCGTAGCCCGTGATTGCGGGATATATATTCCGATCTGTTTGCAGGTTTACGCTTCGTCATATTTTCCCACGGTTACATCAAATATTTTCTCTGCTCTAAGAGATAGACTTCTTAGATGTAACTTTAAACCTCCACGAAGGTATATATCAATCATACGTAAAAATATCAAGCTAAAACCCACTTCAGATACACATTTTCTTCAGCATAATAAAAAAAAAACCGACTCTTCCTCATGCGCGGATTAACCAAGAATTCGTCAAACAAAAATATTTTCTGTGAAGCAAAAATAAAAAAAGGGGAAAGACGCAAATAGCACTAAAAGGCAGAAACATACATTTACACCTAAAAGAACAAAACATCCAACAAAAATATATACCATGTAGTAAACATATAGATATAATATTATATCTCATTGACAAACACTTCCCAAAACAAAGTCAACTACAGAAAAATATTCAACAGAAATACTCTCGAATTTAGCTGTAGACGTACTATAAAAAATATATCAAATCATTAAAAAATTACAGAAGCCTCAACAGTATTCACTAATAGTTACCGCAGAAAATGTAAGAAAATGGATTTAATAGCAAGAACGTGGAAACGCCAATTAAACTGAGACACTCGACGAACGCCAATTAAACTGAGACACTCGACGAACGCCAATTAAACTGAGACACTCGACGAACGCCAATTAAACTGAGACACTCGACGAACGCCAATTAAACTGAGACACTCGACGAACGCCAATTAAACTGAGACACTCGACGAACGCCAATTAAACTGAGACACTCGACGAACGCCAATTAAACTGAGACACTCGACGAACGCCAACTGAATTGAGACACTCGACGAACGCCAATTGAACTGAGACACTCGACGAACGCCAATTAAACTACGACAATATTCGAACATCGATTTAACTTTCGACGAACACCAATTTAACTGCAGGAAATTACGAACGCCACTTTATTTTGGAGATATTTACAAGTTAAAGTTATTCTAGGATGGGCCAATAAGTTCATAGGTTGACAGTTTGATATTCAAATTACAAACTGGAGATAGCAAAATCAATCAGGTACAACAATTTAAATATCTGGGAAGTGTTTTAACAGAGGACAGAAAGTCCGACAATGAGATCCGAAGGCGCCTTTAGATGTCGAAAGATGCCTTCCAAAAGCTAAGCAAAGTATTAAGAAATAGAAAACGTTAGAAACGGAAAAAGAAAGAGTACTGAACTGTCATGTAATATCCGTCCTCCGATATGTACAAGTGAATGCTGGAAACTCTCATCGCAGATGGAGAATAGACTTGAGGCAAAAGAAATGCGGTTCTAGAAATTTACACTGGCTGGACAGATTGAAGGCAAGACCAACAGAACAAACAGCACGGCAGTCATTGTGTCCAGCTATGTTCAATCTACCGTTTTTGTTTGTTTGTTATTAAGCATATCACCCAGCAAGCAAGGCGGAAATGCCACTAGTACGCAAGGGCTTACAGAGAGGGAGAGCAAGAATAAAGAGTGGTGTATGGTGAAAGGATAAAGTGAAGGGCACGTAGCCGAATGGTTAGAAAAAAAAAAGTGCTCTATGCCATAATATATATATATATATATATATATATATATATATATATATACATGAATCATTCATACAAAAACAGATATAAAGTTAATGATATAAATGGCGAAAATACATCTTCGCAAACAAATTTAATAAATTACATTAACCCTGAACCTGTAGATGAATGTTATGATCCCTGTTTATAAATTCCAGTTGCATAAGGTCTTTTTTTAGTTTTTTTACAAGCTTTCATCTGTTCCTACAGACATCATCAGGTATGGAAATAGATTTGTTTGTGTTTTTTTACTTCTCGGTAATAACAGGACAACGAAAATATCGATGTAATCCGAAATATGTTTTTAGAAATGTGTTATTGTTAATTGTAAGAAATTTTTTTAGAGCGTGCGGTCGCAACGCTGATGTTGAATTTTTAAATTTTATGATTGTGCGTTTTTGTACTAATATGATAATAGGAGAATTCTTTTGTACTGGTACGTTTTTCAGTCAATGTGGCATGAACTAAATTGTTCCGTAAATACAGGAATGTCACAGTTATTATCCGAAAGATGCACATCGGATCAGTTGATGATGTCTGTATGCACAGATGAAAGCTTGTAAAAAAAATAATTAAAAAAAAGACCTTATACAACTGGAATTTATAAACAGGGATCATAACCTTCATCTACAGGTTCGGGGTTAATGTACTTTATTAAATTTGTTTGCGAGGATGGATTCAAAAAGGAGGCCAAAAATGGAGAATGAGAGAAAAATGTTGGTCTACTTCTGTCTGATAATTGAATTTAGCTAACCACAATCGCTGACCCGAGGTTGGCATCTCGGTCCCACTTCCCGACAGTGGAGCTGTCTTCCACCTACTTGCTTCCCTGATAGCTAAAATCTTCAAATGTAATGTCAATCGACATCTCCTGGTGCTATGATCTTGATCCCAGTCCTTCTCTTTGTATAGGTGGCCACTCATATTCGAGGATTCTTGTCTACTAAAAACTAGCCCCAATGAGTATTTACAATATGAACACAAACGATGGCGAAGAGCTCATCAGAACACTTGCCATGGAAGTATTTATAGAAAAAGGAAAAGGGAGGCAACTTTACGAATGAAGCAGAGATGCCAGATAAGGCCCAATAAGATTGCTGATTTGGATTTTAGCAAAAAGAAAACTTACTTTGAGCTATAAAGCATAGAAAATAACAATAACAGTGAATACAGGGTTGGGTGGGTGATAACGCTTACAAACAGAAGAGCATGTCCGAGGGAGAAAAAGTCTCTTACCCGAATGTAGATTTTCAATTTCACATAAAAGCTTTGGCAGTACTTACCTAAAAAATAAACGAAAGAAAAAGAATAAATTATAGAGTAAAATACAAAGATATGTAAAAAAAAAAAAAAAAAAAAAGATACATTTATTTTCACAATGATATTCATCATGATTATATAATCATATATCCAAATATAGGACTGGTGTATATGGAATAAATTCCAATAACCAACAAATACTATTCTTAAAAGAGTGCTCAATACAAAGTAGAGCAAATATAATTATCTATTCGAAAATTATAACATAATATAATATATTTATGTTATAATTTTCGAATAAATAATGATATAATCATATGCTCTTGAAAAATTTATTTCAGTTGAGCTCTCTGGGGAGGAAGTGTGGGTTTGTAAACAGTGACTATTACGGCTAATAATACAAGACTCTCAGTCACTGTGTGTTTATCTAAAAATGAATACGCTTAAATTCACCTTCAGCCAACAGCTTAGTGCTAGGATCCCAGACTGACGCCAATTCAGTCGGGTTTCGACCCTAGCTATAGGCAACCGGACGTCTAGCTACACTGATGAGCTGTGATACAGCCAAACAGTGTCTGTGGATGACTATATATATATATATATAATATATGTATATATATATATATATATAATATAATATCACGTGTATATATATATATATATATATATATATATATAATAATTTACACGTATATATATATATATATATATATATATATACACACCTACACAAACGTGTATTTACACATCATTCTGTTGACAGACATATATAGAGGTCTGTTGAAACTCATGTATAGACACTAGAAAATCAGATCAGCGTTTATTATTACCTAAGTTAGTATTAATAAAGGCTATTAATCCGTCTATAAAAATAGATTATCAGATCTTACCACAATTAGACGCCCCCCCACACACACACACAGATATATATTTACATGCATAAGGGGGGGGTCAACCATCAACTCACTTACCCACCACGAAAAAGTCTATATGCAAAAGGTCCTCAGGTTTTTCTTAAGAGAAGGGAAAAATATCTTTATGAAGGAAGACTTGTGAATTTATATATATATATATATATATATATATATATATAAAAAGAAAGAGGAGTAAATTTACATTGAGCACTGTTTTGTAAAAATAAAAATAATCATAAGAACACCGGATTATATATCTTACTGTTCTTTCGTTTTATATATATATATATATATATATATATGTATGTGTGTGTGTTGATCATATTTGATATTGAAGTGCCGCTTATCACGTATGAAAAACAAATACCTACTGACTGACATGACGTAACTAAGATGCATTACTATTGGAGCACCCCTTTTGCATTTTTTTGCATTGTATGTAGTTGCCAAGAGTAACATGACCTAAATAAAAGGTATTACATTTGGAGCGCCCCTTCCCCCTGCGATTACTTTTTGTTTGCATTCTGTGTATTTAGCAAAACATCCCGAAAGAGCGACCTGACCTAGGTAAATAGGAGGCATTATTTTCGGAGCCTCATCTCCTCTTCTGTCAGGTCATTTTGTTTGAATTCTGTGTATTTTCCCAAACATTCCTAAGGAACGACATGACCTAAGTAAATAGGTGTCATTATTATATTTGTGCTTTGACATTTAATTAAGTCGGACAATGACAATTACGGATGAGAAACAACACAGCTCAACCCTTGACGATGTGACGCCATCCAGGGGCAGGGAGCTGGGTCAGTCTGCAAAAGAGTGATACTCTTTAGCTTTCCAAAAACGAGAGAAGAACCCCTACCTCCATCACCAGCCGCTCCCCCCCACACAAAAAAAAAAAAATTAAAAAAATAAATTAAAAAAAAAACCCAGATAATTGCAAGCCGTCTTCTGACCAGAAAAATCTCAGACATTTCCGGATCATTTTGAATCATTAAAAAAAAAAAAAAAAAAAAAAAAAAAAAAAGGTATGGGGGGGGAGACATACAAAATACCCAAGCAAACTTGTCAACGAGAAAATTTAAATGGAAGACAGCATTTTTATTATTTCACCTACAGCAAAGCGATAATATCAGTAAGACGCAAGAGATTACTAAGATTGAAATATATATATATATGTCTGTCATCTCCAGATACTGTTTTGCTGTATCTGAGCTCATCAGTGTGGCTAGACATCCGATTGCCTCAAGCCAGTATCGAAACCCGACTGATTTGGCATCAGTCGGAGATTTTTACCCCTGATTTATCACCGTCCGGTTAAGAGGAAGGCTAATTATTACGTACTTATTCTTCGAACAAACACGTCAATGACCAAAAGTGCTCAATTCATGGAAGAGCTTTGTAGTATTAACAGTAGTAGGCATTGTTTACAAATTCGCGCTTTCTCCTAAGATTGCTCGACCGAATTTAATATCTCTCTCTCTCTCTCTATATATATATATATATATATATATATATATATATATATGATTCTCGAAAGCGCGGATACTCTTTCAAAAGCGTGGTTGATTTGTATGAACTGTTACAAATTCATTACTTTATCCATAGATTTTTCGACTAACATAAGTCATCATCAGGACCGTGTGATAAGAAATTTAATATAATTGTACGTAGTAAGAATTTTACCATGATATTTCTTTTAATCATTTCATCCCAGACAATGTAATAAAGCCACTAAGATGCAAAGGTCACTAAGAGTGAAAGGAAATGAGAAAAAGTAGGCGAAGAGAAACAACAATAAAAGAAAGGGCTGGAAAGAGAATGGACGGACGGACGGACGCACGGACCGGCTGGAAAGAGAATGGACAGATGGACGGACGGTCTGGAAAAAAAAAAAAAAAAAAAAAAAAAAAAAGAAATCTTTGAGAACAAGAATATTTTTACCCTATAGATATATCTAAGAAAAGTAGCTGTCCTTGTCTGAAGAAACATAATGATTGGGTTTGAGAATTTTTTTTTTCTTATCATAGTTGAATACACGATGTTGTTATGGTTGCTTGTGTCAATAAATGATTCTTGGCTCTTGATTTTCTCGTGAGGTGGGGAT